GGGTAGGGGTGGGGGCCAGGAGGTATCAGGGAGAGAGAGGCGAAGCACGTGGGTGGTTTGGGGGATGGACAAGGGTAATTTGAGGGGCCGGTGCGTTGGCAGCGGCGTGGTGTGTGAGGGGGCCGGCAAAGCCCTTGCGGCAAGGGCACGGGTGCTGTTGCGGCGCCTTGCCCTCAGGAGGGGAGGCGGCGAGTGCGGGGGAGACGAGAGGACGAGGTTGTAAGGCTGTTGGGAGAATGGAGACGATCAACCATGGCCCGGCTCAAGGGCTGGCAAGCCCTGCTGCCGCCCCTGCCTCATGGACCTCGAGCCCCAACGAGGCCCCGCAGGCTCCAACAACAAGCTGAGAGCACCACCCAGCCACCCGAGCCACCCGGGCCCCTCGTCTCCCAGGCCCCTGGCAGCGCAGCAGCTACAGCTGTCGCCACTCCGCAGCTGCGGCTGCCCGGCAGCTACCTTCGGGTTGGTTGCGTGCAGCTGCTCCGCCAGCTTCTTGTCCGGATGGGACTGGATCGACAGGGCCGTGCCGACAGACAGCACCTGCGGATGAGGCGGCATCTGGTCAACAATTGTGTGACGGCCGGGCACCTGGGCATGCCCTAGCCATGCAGAGGCGCTTGTTTTGGCTGGCGGGAGGTGTTTTCCTCTAATTGCAGCGTTCAAGCCTTCAGACCGGCCGGACTGCCGAAGGATGATACATCATGAGGGTAGCGTCCCGCGCGCTACAGACCCCCGGGCTGCCGTCACCTGACGTCTTCAATCTCAAAAGCCGGCTAGCTGCTCACTCTCGCACATCCACACTGCTTTGCTGCCGAGGCCGCCCCAGCAACACGCTCAGGCAACAGCCCCCCAACCGCCGGCAACCAACTCGCGTCGAGGCCAGTCCTACGAGGCTCTGTACGCTGTTACCGCCGCAGCGCCGCGGCACAGGTGGCAGTGGCTGGCACGGTGCTATAAAAAGAAGCACATCAGGCGCACCTTAAACAGGTATGGGAGCTCGCCGCCAAAGCGCGCCGCCACGGCCTCCCCCAACGCCTCCGGGTGCTGCTCCAGCCACGCCCGCAGGGTGGTGTCGCTGCCAGAGATCACCGCGGGCCCGCTGGGGTGCGTGCCCATCCTGCGAGGGGTGATGGCCGGGGCATGGGCAGGCGGTGCAGCTTGGGATATGCCGCGGCGGCACCGCGCGCCGGCGGTTGCCCTGCACGTGCGGGGGCGCGCCATGCATGCGGCCTCGGACGCGCGTGGTCGCGCACCAGAGCTCGGCAAAGGGCTTGGTGTCATCGATGGCAACGCCATTCGCCTTCGCGAGTTGAGCAACCTGCACGGGGGAGGGGTCCTCCTCATCAGGAGACGCCTTCCAAGGTCCGAGCCTGATGAGACCGGCTGGATATCCCGCCCACCTCGCTCTTATCGGCTGGCCGGCCCCATGCGTAGTTCTGTGCGGGGCACTGGAGGGCGAGCATTGCTGCTACGGTGGCCGGCGCTGCTGGCGTTCAAAAGGTACGTCGAAATGATGCTGCACGGAGAATGGCTTTGCTTCACATGCACGTCGATTGTTATAATGTGATTGGCCTGCACCGCTATGTTAACGGCACGGGCAGGATTGGTTGCCAACTGCTGGCATGCATCGGCAGTGACTGCAATAGATCACTGTATCTCGTCTTCTCGAGCTTATGGACGACGTGCTTCTCAGACGTGTTGTCACAGTTTTTGTCAATTCTCTGAAGTGATCGTCACGGTGTCTAAGCGCGGCGCACCAGTGTTGTGCCGTGGCGCGGTCGGTCTTTTGAGCCAGCCTGGCCTGCACGGTTTAACAAAGCTTGCTGATTACACATAGGATACTCCTCAGCTCGGCGTCACGCGCACAAAGCGTTTGGACGGCGGCAGGCTTCCGCCTGCGAACACAGGATACACGCGCCGCCGCGGGTGCCATCGGGCAGCGGTGGCGGCGGCGCGGCACGCGCAGCGGGGATGGGCGTGCTGCAGAAGGGGCAGAGGGTGGGCGAGTACACGGTCGTGAGGAAGCTGGGGGAGGGGCAGTTTGCCGAAGTGTGGGAGGTGAAGGACGGCGCTGGAGCTCGGGTGAGCGGATCACTCGAACTCGCGGGCATGCTCGTGTCACCAGGTTTCGGGGAAACGTTCTGCCGCGCACGGCGACGGGGACGCCACGATCCAACACGCACACGCAGCAGGCGGCTGCACGCACGAGCAGCTGCCGCGCTCGGCAGCGGCCGCCCGGGCGTGCACTGGCGGCGCAGGCAGGCTTTGTGGTGGCTTGTGTTTGGAGTGCACGCGGTTGGCGCAATCAGTTTGCCATGTGCACGACGTCGGTTTTCCCGCTGCTGCCTCCTGTGCCCGCAGCATTCCCTCAAGATTGAAAAGCGGAAGGAGTGGGCGACCGTGAAGCAGGAATGCAAGGTGCGCCCACAGGGACGCGCCGTCCCTGAAGCGACTGCCACCGCCGCCGCCCCCGTGCAGCACGGCCGCAAACATTGAAGCCGCCCCCGCGCGACGCCGGCCCTCAGCCGCACCAGTTTTACCCGTCCCGCCCTCCTGCTGCACCCCGCGGCTGCGCCCGCGCGCCTCCCCGCGGCCCCCTTCGCCCCCCGCAGGCGCTGCGGCGCCTCGCCGGCCGCTGCGCGCAAGTGCCGGTCGTCGCGGCCAGCGGATCCCACTTCGACCACTTCTACTTCGTCATGCAGCTGCTCGGCCGCAACCTGGCAGAGGCGCGCCGCGCCGCGCCCGGCGGCCGCATGGGCGCGGCGGGCGCGGCGGCGGCGGGGCTGTCTTCGCTGGCGGCGATTCAGGGGGTGCACGAGGCGGGGTGCATCCACAGGGACGTTAAGCCGGCAAATTTTGTGGTGTCGCCGCCGGGGGCAGCGGCGGGCGAGGGTGAGGGCGGGGCC